TTGAAGCCAATTAAGGGAGGGGAAAATGGCTTTTTACTTCACTGATCTACAGCTACTGAGCAACCCAGAGCTACTTAGTATTAACTGTGAAACATGTTTTGTTTCACTAGCAGGTGCTCAAACATCCTGTACCAAGTTATAATGTTCTTCAGTTTTCCTATTTTCAAATGATGATTGAGTCTTTAATTGTTTTACTTGATTTGGCCTCACTCACTACAAGAACTGAAATAGCCTAACACAAATCCCCTGTCAAACCCTCTATGCAATAATATTTTTCCATGCTCTTCACATTTTTATTAAACCAACAATATAGGTTCTGAGGAACTCAAGGGAACAGATCTCTTCAATTAGTGATAAACAGCAGGATGCTAATACTTAGTACCTGATGGCAGCGAACAGAGTAACCAGAATAGGTGTGGGAGGAATGGTAGAGCTACGAAAGCCTAAATAGCAATGCCAGCCACCAGCTGATGGGGAAACTATTTACTAGGAAAATCCACTATGGAACAAACATTTGGATATATACGTTGGGTCCCTGGTCTTCCAGCACAGTCATAAGGACAGACGCTCCCTTGTTTCAACATTGGAACCTGGGGATGGCGTGGGAAAGAGGGCATGATCCTTCCCTATCTGCACAGGCCAGGGACGACTGCACTCAGCCCCAGGACCACTCTCTCCATAGGGCCCTGGGCACTCCTAACGTTCCAAAGGAGCCGAGGATTAGGCAGTGCTATTTTCCCCATCACACACACACGGAGCAGCCGAGCTGCGGCACAGTCTCTCCTTGAACTCAACACCATCACACGGCTGGGCTAATGGGTACAACATAGCCCGCAACGTGCTGTGGAGAACATTAACCTCAGTTAGTGTTGGCCTATGTACATTCAGGTTGGAGACTAACCAAGGACCTTGTTCTGTGTTTTGAGCAGCTGGAATAAGGTGCCTTGAGTCAACATCACACACTCACAAAGTAACACAAAGAAATAAAAGCAAAGCTTCCCCTGACCAAGCAGGGGCCCAGAGGTCTTTCCCCTTACATCTCCCTGTACTGCTCCAGGGCCAGCCACAGGAACCCACCTGCTTCCCACAGCTCCACCTCAAACCAAGTTCTCTCAGCCCTTTATAGGATACACATGACACCTTCTCACCTGGATCTGATTATTGAACAAGGCAGGCTGGGCCCAGACTCCCTGGCCCTTAAAGACCACAGCTAGAGCTGTAAAACCCAGATTTGTGCAGCTAGAAAAACAGGATTTCTGGTGTCTTGCTGGTACACAGAAACTGATATCCCAGAAGGATAAGGTGGCTTTAAGCCATCTTTGCATGCCCCATATTCTGGAAAGGCTACTCTAACTTATGCTCAGGTCCCCTATGGGCTATTACAATAACAGGAAATTCAACAATAGAAATTCAGAAAATAAAATGGAAAACACACAAGGGTTTTTTTTTGCCACTGTTTTAGAACAGCCTGCGTGATGCTAGGTACACTAGGCTCACCGACAGTGCAGCTGCTGGTAGTGCTCAGTGAGCTAATGCTTTACAGTGACTGCCTTTCACACTATCTCTGTACAAGAAGGTGCCTGTGACATCTGCTAAAAATTTAATAGGGAATTGGATGCACTTACTTACACAGTTAAAGGTCAGACTTGAAAGGAACCATCTTGAAGTGTATCTCCAGACAGTATTAAAGACTAAGGGTATCTTTACACAGCAGCTGGGAGGTTGTTTCCCAGCCTGGATAGACAGACATGTGCTAGCTTTGCTTGAGCTAGCATGCTAAAAAGAGCAGCAAAGCCAGCACAGGCAATGGCTCGGACTAGCTGTCTGAGTACGTACCTAGGGGGTCTGGGCAGGTTTGTCTCTGAGCTGCCCCCCGCCCCCCAATCCCCAGTTATGCTGCTATTTTTAGCGCTCTAGCTTGAGCAGAGCTGCTGGTGTCTTGCACTGGGAAGCATGCTTCCAGCTGCAGAATAGACATACCCTAAGAGGAAACATGCATAAAGCCATTGACTAGCTTTGCTTTCCAAACACGGGGCCCGATCCTGAAGATCTTCCTTAGGCAAACCACCTACTGAAGTCAATGAGAAGTTTGATTGAGAAAGCACTGCAGGATTGGGCCAACTGATAGCAAGCCTTTACTTTATACATTAGTTTCTATCACCTCTTGTGAGAAGGGGCCTAAATATTGTTTGGTAAAGTATCAGTCCTACAACACTGGACTCAAGCAAAATTTGTGGGGGTTTTTTTTAATTGATGTGAACTCGAAGCAGGAACTGGCCCTGCATTTCAAAGCAGGAGGAAACAGCTGCACTCACACAAATCTTTATTTGAAGCCACAAACTACTATGGGTTTTGTGGGCAATTTTGCACAAGCAGATACTCACTAGCAAATATCCGCTAAGACAAGCAGATACAGGACTTGAAAATGCTGCCCCTGCAAGTCTAAAGGAAAAATCTCACAATTTTAGTAGGGTTTTGTAAAATAAGAAATAAAAAAGCAGTTGAAAATTAAGCACCGCTGTTACCAATTAGACTTTCTAAGGCATGTAATGAACTCTGCTCATAATTTATGGGCTAGCTTAAAACAGGGATAGTGACCTGTTTCTTAAACATCTGAACCAGCATGAATCTCAGTCTAACCGGAAATTGAACCCAGAGTTAAAACCTTTTTTAAAGGTTTTGATCAATTTGGTAGAGAAATTTAAAGAGGTTTATAAAACCCTCTTCCTCAATTACTGGGCTCCAGCCACCTAACCTTCTAAGCAAATCCTCCCCCTTTTCCACACCTACCACTCACCCTTCTTTCTGAAGAGCATGTCCTGATACTAACCCTGCATGAAAACCCCACCATCATGTGCTAGGTATGGATACAATTAATCACTGTTGCTTTGCTTAAAGCTGTATTGCAGTCCTGCACTCTGCAGTGGGTTCCCAAATTGCCTCAGACTCTACCTACTTATGGCATTTGTATCATGCTCATGATTGATTCCTGAAGATCTATGCACTGGCAAGCCTGGGGGAAGCACTGCAGAGTGGGCCATTGGAACAGTGGCTCAAAGCAATGAACTAAAGTGAGAGCTGGTTCCAGGTAAGTGATAGATCTATTAAAGGTAGGTATGAGGGAAGAGTAACTGGACAAAGAAAGGAAGAGGTTTTCAGCAGCAGGCCAACAGGAACAGGACTACTGGTATTATACGGGTGGCATTTGTAGGATTGAGTCTGGGACACTATTATTTATAGGAAAATTTCTCTACATTTTATTTACTCTGTGTGTTCTTATAGTTATATGATATATGTACATGCATATATGTACATCCCAAGAGAGAAAAGGTATATATGTGTGCACACATGTGATTATACACACACACTATTATGTACAAATAAGAGCTTACTCATTATATCTGTTCCCTGTATGTCTTTGGAGATTACACAGCAGATTACTTCAATGACAAGTTATTCACCAACTACTAGCTCTGAAGATTCAGTGCAGAAAAATTTCTACCTACCTAGATGATGCAAGCCGAGTCAGCAGAAAGCCTGAAAAAATAGCTCAATGTGCCCTGAACAAACAGATTCATCTCAATGGGGTGTTAACTTTGAAACCTAATGATGAAGTTTACACAGTAACCTTAACTACTTTGCTGTGCATCATTTTAGCACAAACATCCAGCTAATGTGCTTATCTCACAATACTAAACTGACAGCTACACCTTTTCAGGTGTCAAAAGCTGCAACTGCCCCCTACCCCAGCTAGCCAAACCTCCAGCTTCCGTCTCATAAATCCTACAATGCAGTGGTGTGTTTTCAATACTAGGACCCAGATCATCAGTCCACTGATCTTGGCATAGCTATACTTAAGTCAATAGTGTCATGTCCATTTACACCAGCTGAAGACCGAGTTCAAAATTCTGCAGCACACTTAAAATTTAGATGTCCAAATCAAATAAATTGAATATGGTATCAAGTTAAATAGCAGAAGGGATAATGTAGTGGTTGTCTAATTCATTTTCATATTTGGTGTAATAGAAACCTGCATTTCTTGGTTTATCTGAGGCTGACAAAGAATCTCTGGCATTATAGACTCCAGCCACAGAAGGTAGGTCAAATTTACTAAGGAATACATGGAGCACTGGTACCCACACAAACTTTGGTGCAATCTTGCTCCCAGAGCTTGCATTTGCATGCCCTATGTTCTTCTCATTCCTGTTGCTTCCCTTTGTCTCCTTTCCCCATTTTGGCTCTGGGCTTCTTATCATCTTGCTCCCTAGGCCTGCAACCACCCATCTGTTCTTGTCCATGGAGAATCCTCTCTTTTCCTCCATCAAACCCATCTCTTCAGGGAAACCTTCCACCCTCCATCTTTAGCAACCACTAACCTTCCTGTTACTGAATTGTTGTGCTATGTCTTGTCTTACATTTGTTTCTCTTGTCTTGTTTGGATTGCCAGCCCTTCAGGGCAGGGAAAGCATCTTACCTCTAATCTGTAAATACCCATGGAAATTTACGAGCCATAGAAATATGTAATAATCAATAAATATAATGATGTCACATTAAAATTCATGCCTATGGCCTCTGCCTGGTACTTGGCAGTTATCGTAAGAGAAGTAATTTACAAAGGTTAGGCATACAGAATACAGCTGAAAGATGAAGTTTAAAGATCACCCATTGGGAAGTATAAATTATTTACTCCACTACAAAACAGTGTAGTGCACTGTTGTGTTTTACATTCTTAGAAAAATAAAGAGCTGGGGTCTGATCCAAACCCCACTGAAGTCAAATGGATCCTGCCATCAACTGAAAAGAGCTTTGGATCAGGACTCTAGAGAGTCCTGATATAAAACAATGTTCTGGACAGTGTTCTGCACCCAATGTTAAAGGACGCTAAAGAATAGGAAACTATTTGATCTCCACTTTGCATTCACTTTATCGTGTCTCTGCCCTTGGAGGTGCAAAATTACAAAAGAAAAACAGAAAGCAAGCGAGTTAAAGATTATAAATACCTGGTGTCAGGAGTATAACAGAGGTGACAATCAGGGAGCAGATAACCAGAATAACAAGTAAAGCAATTGCAATTCCTTTCCAGTTTCTTTGTGGAGGATTACTCCCCACCAGCTCCTAGAAATAACAAAAGGACAGGGAATATTAAGTAAAGGCACCAGAACAAGACAATAAACAACAAAATCCAAACAGCAGTGCACTTTTCCCAGTATATTCACAGTGTCCCATATATCGCTGTGAACATGGTAGCACAAACAGCCACTCAGGCTACAGTTTATTTCATAGTACTATGTTCTGGTGTTTATTTGATTCACTCTCGATCAAAGTATAGAACCAATAAATATGAGGGGCCAAATCCATATTTGAGATAATTCCTCTTGGGTAACTCTCTGAAACCACTCTGAAACCTTGGGTAACTGTGTGTATCTAAAGGGAGAGTGGAAAGGGTATCCCCTGGATAGTCACCCTTGTTACACTTGTGGAAAAGGGGGTAGCACACTCCCTCCTCCTCACCCTGCCTTACCAGCACAGCTCTTCAGCCTCTGTCTGCTGTGACAGCAGTGCCCAGGCATACCTCCTTGGGGCTAGTCAGTGCTCACAGCTATGCAAGGGTCCTCTCCCCAATCCCCTGCGCTTGCAGAGTGAGGGAGGTCATATCATTGCTTCTTCCTTTGTGGGAGTATTTGGTGTGGGCGCCCCTACCCCCAGGGCACAGGTTTTGGAGCAGCCATCATCTGGCACTCACTTTATAGGACTTCATAAATATCTGCAGTCATCATATCTAAAATGGTAAAAAGTTAGATCAAAAGGGCTGTGTGATGCACATTCATTTAAAATGGCCAAGATCCAGAGTCACAGGTAGGTGTGAATGAGTCCGGGAAGTCTAGAGGGAGCTACAGTCATGTAAACAGCACCTTCTTACAACGCCCCAACATGCATATTTTACCAGCTTAGCTTCATGTAGACCAAGACTCGCTTAGACTCACGCCCACTTACCACCATGTAACAATTCAGTACTCTCCCCTCACTGAGTCTGCGTGTAAGGAGTTTTAATGTAACTCTCAGGAAGTCTCGTACAAAGAAACCAGAGAGAGGAGTCCAGAAAGTAAAGCAATATACAGGAGAGTGCAAATAGATATAAGATAAACTAGGCCACCCCCTTCCTTGACTTACACCTTTTTCTCGCTCCTCAAAACATACTGCATAAACGTAGACCTCCTTCTGTTCACTGACACATCAGAAGCGAGTCTTACACATCAGCCCTGAGCCTGACCCGAAACATTCAGAAAGCCACACTGCTATTTACCGATAAGCCTGACATTATTGAGGTTTTACCATATAGTTCTGTTTCCGATCTCTCTGGCATTTCTCACTGAGGGTTTTATGAAGTACTGCATACATATTCATCATCATCATCACTCCCATAACCGCATTGGTCATTGGCGCACCATCACTGATGAGCAATCAATCGTCTCCACCCCTGATGATTGTGTGTCAGTGCTTGAGTCTCTGCGAGTCCATTCCTGTCCACTCTTATGTTGTCAATCCATCTCTTCTTCTGTCTACCTCTTCTTCTATTCCCCTGTACTATCCCTTGGAGGATGATCTTGGATAGGCCAGATGGTCTTGTTACATGGCTGTACCACTTCAGCTTGCACTTTTTCACGGTCATCAGGAGGTCTTCATATGACCCAGCGCATTGGGTGATGATGTTGCTGACCACTTCATTAGTGACGTGGTCGAAGTAGGAGATGCCCAGGATTTTATGGAAGCATCTCATCTCTACTACCTGTATTTTCCATTTAAGTTCTGCCATAAGAGTCCATGTCTCGCATGCATACAGAAAAATGGAGATGACCATTGCGTGGGGCAGTTTCAGTTTGGATTCCACGGAGATGTTCTTATTCCTCCAGATTGGCTTTAGCTTTGCCACTGGTGCTGTTGTTTGTGCAGTTCTTGCCTGAATTTCTGCCTTGGATCCTTCATCAGTGATGATTGCCCCCAGATACTTGAATTGTTTCACTGTCTCCAGCTCGTGTCCACTGACAGTGATATGTGAGCTGATCCCATCATGTTTCATCAGCTTGGTTTTCTCTGCACTGATTTCCATGCCATATTTTGCGGAGGTTTCATCCAATCATTTCACAAGGTTGGCAAGTTCATCTTCGCTGCCTGCCAGGCCATCAATGTTATCAGCGAACCAAAGATTTGAGATTGTTCGCTCCCCAATGCTGACTATGCATATGTGATCTTCTAGGGCATCAGTCATTATGCGCTCCAAGTAGATGTTGAACAGTGTGGGCAAAAGAAGGCAGCCTTGCCGGACTCCAACAGTGGTGCGAAACCACTCTCCTATTGTGCCATTGATGAGAACTGAACTGCTGGCCTTGGCATATAGTTGTTTAATGGTAAGAATAAGCTTACGACCAACATTGTACTTCTTCATGGTTGCCCAGAGAGCTTCGTGCCATAGTCTGTCAAACGCCTTCTTGAAGTCAACAAAGACTTGGTAGATGTCCTGCTGGTGTTGTAAGTACTTCTCACATAGAACACAAAGGTTGAAAATCTGTTCTGTGGTACCTCTTCCAGCACGAAAGCCAGCCTGTTCTTCAGTGATGATATTCTCTGCTTGTGGCTTCAACCTGTTCAATATCAACATCATTTTGCTGGGATGGCTAATTAAGATTATGGTCCGGTAATTTTGACACAGTTACAGATTGCCTTTCTTTGGCAGAGTGATAATTAGTGACTGTGTCCACGTGGAGGGCCACTCACCGGTCTGCCAGATCTTGTTGCAGATCTTGGTGAGTACATCTATTACTATTTCTCCTCCGAATTTCATCAGTTTGGCTGGGATGTTGTCAATACCTGTAGCCTTTCCATTCGTGAGTGATTTCACAGCTGTGTCCACTTCTTCATGCAGTATTGGAAAGTCATCCTCCTCTGTTGAATGTGGGCTGTCTAAGACACTAGGATCTCCATTTGTCTGGTGGTTGTATAGATCAGAGCAGTAGTTTGTCCACCTATTGATGAAGTCCCTTTCTTCTGTAAGACTGTTCCCTTCTTTGTCTTGAATTGCATTAGCTTTGGCCCATCTTTCCTTCATCAGATCTTTTACAACCTTGAAGGCTCGTTTGCTATTTTTATTATTGATACACTCTGCAATTTTAGAGCATTGTTTTTCAATCCATATCTCCTAGGCCACCTTCATTCCTTTATTGATCTTTCTGCCAATCGCTCTGTATTTATCAGCTTCCTCAGTGCTCTCTTAAGTGTCTCTCTTAAGTTTTCTTCTAATGTCACACATATATAGTATTTCGTTTGTGACCCATGGTTTTGTTTTCTTATGATGTTTCCCAAGGATGTCCATTGCTGTCTCATTCATTACAGAGTGGAAATTGTTCGTCATTGTTTCTACGAGCAAACAGCGGGACAAATTTTCCGCCGATCATTGCTTTAACCATTTAGTATCACAGTGGTACAAGTCTACGCCCCTACAACAGACTATGACGATGAGCAAATCGAAGATTTTTACAATGAGCTCCAAGACATCATCAATAAGGTACACAAGAAAGATATCCTGATTGTACAAGGAGATTGGAATGCTAAAGTGGGTACTGACGCACAGGCAGATTGGTGAGATTATTGTGGCCCTTTCAGTAATGCGGTAACCAATGAGAGAGGATTGAGACTTTTGGAGTTTGCCAGCTATAACAAACTGGTTCTTGCAAACACATTAGGAGCACGTAAAGCATCCAGACAATGAACATGGCACACACCTAATGGTCTACATCATAGTCAGATCGACTACATCATGGCACAAAACTGATTTTGTTCAGGTGCTGATATTGGAAGTGATCATGACCTTGTGATGCTAAATTTTTGGCTGCAGCTAAGGAAAATTGTCAGGCCAAAGTTCACCAGAAACAAGTTTGACTTAGAAAGACTCAGAGACTGAAACATACACATTCACAGGATCTTAAATATTTATTGCACCTTCTCCCCGCCTTAGTTTCCTAGCTTCCACTGGATTTCCCTTAGCACTGAAACATCCAATGGACTCTGCTTTCTGACTAGGTTGAATAATCACTCAGCAAATCTGGGCTTATAGCTAGAGCACTAAAACCTTCATATCTAGACACTCTACTAATTTGGGATTTAGCCTAGTTTGAAGAATTATGGGTGATGGTTTTGTTTTGTTTTTTTTGCTAGCAAAACTGTTTTGTCCAAATTAAGTGCTTGTGGAGTTCAAAAGATTAATTTTATTTGCTGTGATGTAGAGTTTTTTTGTACAAAGAATGTCATCCCAATGGTACATAAAGTGGGACATTTATGGAAATGTCTCTCCCTTTGATCTTGGAGAAATGATGGGGATAATGCTATATGTCAGTGGCTCTCAACTTTTTCCACATCGTGACCCCCATGTCACAACAAAATAAAATTTTGGAACCCTTCTTTAATGTGGTTTGGGATCAAGGCATACAAAAGGTCTTGAACTCAGGCTAAGAACCCATGCCAGTAAGCATCTGAAAGTGACATCTGTATTTCAGCTGTTTATTCTGTTTCTTGGCTTTGTACTTGAAAGAAAAATATAATTAGAAGGAGCAAATAATTTCTGTTTTATCATTTATATTAGAAGAAGAATCTGAAAAGTAGGTCAGGAGCTTTGAGAAATGCAAGACTGCCAGCAACTAAATAGAGAAGATAGAAATGCCCTGACATTTTCCAGTGCCTTCCATTTGAGCATCTTCACAAACATTAATTAATTTAGCCTCCAACACCCTTGTGAGTCAGGGTTGCATTGCGATCCCCATATTTCAGGTGATGAACCTAAGACCCGGAGAGATTTTGTGATTTTCCCCAAGGAATTCAGAGGAAGAGCCAGGAAAAGAATCTAGGACATGCCACCTACCCATAGGACCACTCGTCCTTCCCTGTAAAAGGGCCCAGCAAGAGCATAGCGAGCAGATCGAGGGACGTGATCGTTCCCCTCTATTCGACATTGGTGAGGCCTCATCTGGAGTACTGTGTCCAGTTTTGGGCCCCACACTTCAAGAAGGATGTGGATAAATTGGAGAGAGTCCAGCGAAGGGCAACAAAAATGATTAGGGGTCTGG